GTTCTGCTCTTTCGTTTCAGATCCACAGTCGTCGATGGATTCAGCGCTGGAAAGCTAGGGGTGGCGGCGGTCTATAAGGAGGAACAGCATGCCAACATCGCTGGAAAAGAGGTATTTCTTAGTTCTTAAGAAATGTGAGGTAAGAGTTTTCCCTTCATTCATTGTTTTGTGTTTGCACCACCCACTAAGTACTAACCCATCCCCCTCCCTCCCCTTCGCACTTGTTCTGCTCTCTCGTTTCAGATCCACAGTCGTCGATGGATTCAGCGCTGGAAAGCTAGGGGTGGCGGCGGTCTATAAGGAGGAACAGCATGCCAACATCGCTGGAAAAGAGGTATTTCTTAGTTCTTAAGAAATGTGAGGTAAGAGTTTTCATTCATTGTTTTGTGTTTGCACCACCCACTAAGTACTAACCCATCCCCCTCCCTCCCCTTCGCACTTGTTCTGCTCTTTCCTTTCAGATCCACAGTCGTCGATGGATTCAGCGCTGGAAAGCTAGGGGTGGCGGCGGTCTATAAGGAGGAACAGCATGCCAACATCGCTGGAAAAGAGGTATTTCTTAGTTCTTAAGAAATGTGAGGTAAGAGTTTTCATTCATTGTTTTGTGTTTGCACCACCCACTAAGTACTAACCCATCCCCCTCCCTCCCCTTCGCACTTGTTCTGCTCTTTCGTTTCAGATCCACAGTCGTCGATGGATTCAGCGCTGGAAAGCTAGGGGTGGCGGCGGTCTATAAGGAGGAACAGCATGCCAACATCGCTGGAAAAGAGGTATTTCTTAGTTCTTAAGAAATGTGAGGTAAGAGTTTTCCCTTCATTCATTGTTTTGTGTTTGCACCACCCACTAAGTACTAACCCATCCCCCTCCCTCCCCTTCGCACTTGTTCTGCTCTTTCGTTTCAGATCCACAGTCGTCGATGGATTCAGCGCTGGAAAGCTAGGGGTGGCGGCGGTCTATAAGGAGGAACAGCATGCCAACATCGCTGGAAAAGAGGTATTTCTTAGTTCTTAAGAAATGTGAGGTAAGAGTTTTCATTCATTGTTTTGTGTTTGCACCACCCACTAAGTACTAACCCATCCCCCTCCCTCCCCTTCGCACTTGTTCTGCTCTTTCGTTTCAGATCCACAGTCGTCGATGGATTCAGCGCTGGAAAGCTAGGGGTGGCGGCGGTCTATAAGGAGGAACAGCATGCCAACATCGCTGGAAAAGAGGTATTTCTTAGTTCTTAAGAAATGTGAGGTAAGAGTTTTCATTCATTGTTTTGTGTTTGCACCACCCACTAAGTACTAACCCATCCCCCTCCCTCCCCTTCGCACTTGTTCTGCTCTCTCGTTTCAGATCCACAGTCGTCGATGGATTCAGCGCTGGAAAGCTAGGGGTGGCGGCGGTCTATAAGGAGGAACAGCATGCCAACATCGCTGGAAAAGAGGTATTTCTTAGTTCTTAAGAAATGTGAGGTAAGAGTTTTCCCTTCATTCATTGTTTTGTGTTTGCACCACCCACTAAGTACTAACCCATCCCCCTCCCTCCCCTTCGCACTTGTTCTGCTCTTTCGTTTCAGATCCACAGTCGTCGATGGATTCAGCGCTGGAAAGCTAGGGGTGGCGGCGGTCTATAAAGAGGAACAGCATGCCAACATCGCTGGAAAAGAGGTATTTCTTAGTTCTTAAGAAATGTGAGGTAAGAGTTTTCATTCATTGTTTTGTGTTTGCACCACCCACTAAGTACTAACCCATCCCCCTCCCTCCCCTTCGCACTTGTTCTGCTCTTTCGTTTCAGATCCACAGTCGTCGATGGATTCAGCGCTGGAAAGCTAGGGGTGGCGGCGGTCTATAAGGAGGAACAGCATGCCAACATCGCTGGAAAAGAGGTATTTCTTAGTTCTTAAGAAATGTGAGGTAAGAGTTTTCATTCATTGTTTTGTGTTTGCACCACCCACTAAGTACTAACCCATCCCCCTCCCTCCCCTTCGCACTTGTTCTGCTCTTTCGTTTCAGATCCACAGTCGTCGATGGATTCAGCGCTGGAAAGCTAGGGGTGGCGGCGGTCTATAAGGAGGAACACATGCCAACATCGCTGGAAAAGAGGTATTTCTTAGTTCTTAAGAAATGTGAGGTAAGAGTTTTCATTCATTGTTTTGTGTTTGCACCAGCCACTAAGTACTAACCCATCCCCCTCCCTCCCCTTCGCACTTGTTCTGCTCTCTCGTTTCAGATCCACAGTCGTCGATGGATTCAGCGCTGGAAAGCTAGGGGTGGCGGCGGTCTATAAGGAGGAACAGCATGCCAACATCGCTGGAAAAGAGGTATTTCTTAGTTCTTAAGAAATGTGAGGTAAGAGTTTTCCCTTCATTCATTGTTTTGTGTTTGCACCACCCACTAAGTACTAACCCATCCCCCTCCCTCCCCTTCGCACTTGTTCTGCTCTTTCGTTTCAGATCCACAGTCGTCGATGGATTCAGCGCTGGAAAGCTAGGGGTGGCGGCGGTCTATAAAGAGGAACAGCATGCCAACATCGCTGGAAAAGAGGTATTTCTTAGTTCTTAAGAAATGTGAGGTAAGAGTTTTCATTCATTGTTTTGTGTTTGCACCACCCACTAAGTACTAACCCATCCCCCTCCCTCCCCTTCGCACTTGTTCTGCTCTTTCGTTTCAGATCCACAGTCGTCGATGGATTCAGCGCTGGAAAGCTAGGGGTGGCGGCGGTCTATAAGGAGGAACAGCATGCCAACATCGCTGGAAAAGAGGTATTTCTTAGTTCTTAAGAAATGTGAGGTAAGAGTTTTCATTCATTGTTTTGTGTTTGCACCACCCACTAAGTACTAACCCATCCCCCTCCCTCCCCTTCGCACTTGTTCTGCTCTTTCGTTTCAGATCCACAGTCGTCGATGGATTCAGCGCTGGAAAGCTAGGGGTGGCGGCGGTCTATAAGGAGGAACAGCATGCCAACATCGCTGGAAAAGAGGTATTTCTTAGTTCTTAAGAAATGTGAGGTAAGAGTTTTCATTCATTGTTTTGTGTTTGCACCACCCACTAAGTACTAACCCATCCCCCTCCCTCCCCTTCGCACTTGTTCTGCTCTTTCGTTTCAGATCCACTGTCGTCGATGGATTCAGCGCTGGAAAGCTAGGGGTGGCGGCGGTCTATAAGGAGGAACAGCATGCCAACATCGCTGGAAAAGAGGTATTTCTTAGTTCTTAAGAAATGTGAGGTAAGAGTTTTCCCTTCATTCATTGTTTTGTGTTTGCACCACCCACTAAGTACTAACCCATCCCCCTCCCTCCCCTTCGCACTTGTTCTGCTCTTTTGTTTCAGAGCCACAGTCGTCGATGGATTCAATGCTGGAATGATAGCATGAGGAACAGCATGGAACGAGGAGAATCCTAGGACTTGGCATGATTCTGTCTTATTTCCGAAGGTCAGTCTCTATTATTCTTGAAAGTTTTGTTAATTATTTTTCAGGGAATGTGCAATTGCAGGCTTATTAGATAATTAAGCCTTTGCGTCTTTATGAGTTTGAAAGATAACATAAATAATTTTTATAAATATTATATGATGAAATCTGGGAGTGTCTATGATCCAGTCTCTTAAATATAAACCTGGTAGAGGATTATTACAAAGGAATTAAAACAACAAGAAATAAAGTTTGCAGAGTTTTATTCCGATGATATTCCAATTTTTATTATAAATAACTAATCAACAACATCATGAATATGTACGATCACGCAATGCAACTTGCTAGATTTACTATAGGACCCTTTTGAAATTCTGACAAAGTTTAAATAAATGTTAATTTCTAAAATTTAATTTCATAAATAATAAATAAATAAATAGATTTAACTTACATTGACAACGTAGTAATGACTAAGATATAAAATTCCACAAGTCTGGTAATGACTACAATATTAGTTTCTACAAATCTGGTAACAACCGAAGAAGAAACCCCGAAAAATAATTTTGACTGTAAACTACCCATTAACACTTATATATAGCATAACCTAATAACCAAACTTGACATTGCACACGTGCAACCCATTTGGTCAACTTAAATTGTACGTAAAAGTTGTATATGAATTTCCACAACTGGAAACATGAGAAAATTTAAGTACAAAACATACAATAAACATGGTTCAGGGTGGAATTATAAGATAAAGCAATGATATACAACAAAATAAATACATTTTAAACATATCGTAATAATGAATGAAGCTAACAGTTGTATTAAAAATGAGACAATAAATAAAGAAATATACATTTTATCAACACACAATTGAAAATCATCACAAGAACTTAATTTTTGGGAAACCTTATTTTCGCAAGATACTATTTATAAGTGAAGTGACATATTTTCAGTCATTGCTCTATAAAATTGTCAATAGACAAATACTAATACGAGAATAGAAAGGTGTTGCATACCGTAATTACATTGAAATAAAGTTCTTGCAAATAAAAGTGATTTACAGTAATTGTCATGGATTATCCGCGAGTTCATGTAACGTTAACTTTGTTGTGACGTCATAATACTTTCGTTTGTTTCTATAGATAATAACAAGTCTCAAATAAACCACTATACGATTAAGACGTCTTTCATTTCATTCCACAACATTTTGGTGCCGTGACCAGCGGAATTCTACGTAGTGTACATACAATGGAAGGAAGACTAAAAGCTATACGAGCAGGCAACAGATCAGCAGTTACAAAGCTATTCGGACGGTTTTTGGACTTGAAGGAAAATCCAGCCAGTGAAGAAATTACCGAGGAAATCAACATAATAAGAAAGTCTCTCGCGCTGAAAAGGCAGACCCTACAAGAATTGAATGACCGCATATTGGATATCCTTTCTGAAGAGGACATCGAAACAGAAATCGCAAATACATGTATGGATTAGACTGTAAAATTAGGCAAACTGAAAAATTTACAGAAAAAATTCCATGTAAAACTTTGAATGCCAATGCTGAGTGTTTTACATCCGCCACAGAAATTTATGATAATAACGTTAACATGTCAGCTACAATTAACTCAAGTGAAATGGCTTGTGAGAATATTTTGAACAATTATCCTGCCTCTGATCTCAATGCACAAAGTAGCCAGGAAAATGTTTTGTCATTAACATCCCAACACGCCACGAGTAATCACCGATTACCAAAGTTAGATCTTCCGCATTTTTATGGAGATGTATTAGAATGGAATACATTTTGGGATTCCTACGAATCAACGATTCATTGCAATCATACTTTGATGCCAATTCAAAAGTTTAGCTATCTCAAAGCTCAATTACGCGACACAGCAGCACAAACAATAGCAGGATTTGCGCTTACAAATGCTAATTACGAAACGGCAATAGACTTGCTCAAAGAACGATTTGGTCAGCCACAGAAAATTATTAACGCTCATATGAGAGCACTCATCGAACTTCCTGCCCCCAGAAATGATGCCACTAGTTTAAGAAATTATGGAGATTTCTTGGAATCTCATGTCAGGAGCTTAGAGTGTCTAGGACAAAGACAAGAGATGTTTGGAGCATTACTTATTCCAGTCATAATCAACAAGCTACCAACTGAAATTAGGAAAAACATTGCACGTGAGTACGATGGTGACAACATTTCACTACAAAATCTTCGTAAAGCTATCAGCAAAGAAGTCAAAATCCTTGAATCAGGCCAGATTGAAAACAGCGATGGATTTCACGCAACAGCAATGTTTCCTACCGGAGCATCAAAGAAACAACACAACGTTCATTATTCACGTAATCAGAAAACAAGAGAGTCAACTCCTCATGTTGAAATAACAGAGATGAAGAGCCGCCCATGCATTTATTGTTGCACAGAGAATCATTTTCCAGGGGATTGTAAGAAAGTTACAGACGTAAGTGCAAGATTCGACATCTTAAAACGGAAGAAATTATGTTTCAACTGCTTGGGAAACCACCACGCCTCAGATTGTAAATCCCGCAACAGGTGTAAAAAGTGTCAGAAAAAACACCACACAAGTATATGTAACGTGAAACTAACGAAGGACAGAGACGAGCCCACCAAATCAACAAGTGTCAACATCGTAGAAACGAATAAGAAGCCAGAAACCAGAGAACTGAACTTTGAACATCGACCTACAAGTGTTTTACTAAATACAGCTAGGCCTATCTCTCCGATAAGTCGGACCGTGGACTCCATGCAAGAAGAACGTAACAAGTTGACTAACGTGATACAAAAATTAAAATCAGAGCTGAAGATCCAGACACAAAGGAGGAACGATTGGAGCATGAGAATGCCACCCTGCTAGAGAGAGTGTCACAATTCGACCAACAAAGGAATTTTGAGACTCGTATAGAGAATGTGATGAAGGAGATGATGAAACAGAAAAATAAACTGGCGTACGAAAACGGACGCCTGCATAAGGAGATTCAGGAATTAAGGGGCCAAGTTGACATACTCAAAACCGCCACCTCTGACTCGGAGCATCTCAAGGCTAAAAACAACAGTCTTCAATCACGATGTGATTACACTCGAAGGGAAATAAGTGATCTAAAGATCAACGTACAGAGATTGGAAAATCAGCTGCAAACTTTACAGGGCTCCGAAGATAGCAGGGAGAGAGATTACACGTTCGCCGTAAAGACTCATGTTGAGGCACTAAGGGAGAAAACTCAGCTGATAGAAAAACTTAAAGAGGCCGATAAGAGGGAAAAAGATAAGTCACAGAAAAAGAATCTCAGGGATATGGCAGAGATAAAGACACAAAACAACAACCGACAGACTTGGAACATGGAGCTGGAGAAAGCTAACCCAGAAATACGTCACAAACAATCGGAAACTGAGATTCTGATTCAAAACCTGAAAGATAAAGTTTCTGAAGAGAAGATGATCGAGAATCAAAACCAAAAGCCAAAGAAAGAATCCATGAATGGACCTCTTAATTTAGTGATTATGAACTTGCTTTTTATTTCAATGGAACTGTTAATTTAATATGAGCTTTTTAAAATTTTACTATTCATTTTGGTGCCCGGAGTGTCATGGATTATCCGCGAGTTCATGTAACGTTAACTTTGTTGTGACGTCATAATACTTTCGTTTGTTTCTATAGATAATAACAAGTCTCAAATAAACCACTATACGATTAAGACGTCTTTCATTTCATTCCACAACAGTAATCTATGTGAATGTTAAGTAACTATTATAAATTATCCAGATTAAAGAAAACTGTAGCCAATATAATATGTTTCTAATCATAGTAAGCTCTGAGAAGTAATGATCTGTAATGGTCCTAACTCTATTGTAGCATTAATTGATGTCATGAAGTTTTACGTCCTCACGCAGAGCCACTAGAAGACAAACACCTGGATAAGAGGAAGAACACAGCAAGAAAAGACCTTATCCCAAAGGATCTACACTTTTGGAAACCAGAGCAGAAGTATGTCATGAGGCCCTCTATGCAGTCAGATATAATACTGTTTATATTCATCCTTAGGTATTTCTATTGTAATACTGGAAGTAACTGTAATTCAACCATTGTTCACAACAACATTTATTCTCTGTTTATCAGTTTAATATTTCTCTTTGAGGACTAAATTTGGTGCCTGAGGAATTTTTTTTTTTATTTAATTACACAATAATAATTAAAACAAATAATTTGCTGCAAGAAATATTTGCAAATATATACATTTGTGGTATCTCTCTATTGAATAAACATACAGAGAGCAAATATCTTCATACCTGTATGAAGTTTTTCGAAGGTCATAGGTCATTACGTGACCTAATCACACAGTGCCGTAATATCTACATAAAAAGACTTACTCTACTTAACAATAAAGCATGCTTTTCATGTATAAAAATGTACAAAATACGCAAGTAAGATAATATTCATTTTATTTACAATGTAAACGGGTATTTAATACAGTTCTTGATTGATTTTACATGGAGAATAGAAAATTAAGTGTGTATAATGTTTCATGTCTGAGATCCCTTTGTTTAATAGTTACAAAAATAATTAATAAAATTCAAAATCATCATCAAATTTTCAGTCTAATCAATAAAGCTGAAAACAAAACTTTTCCTAGGAACAACTGTGTAAATAATTTATCAGGATCTTCTCTAGCAGCAGAGCGTCAGATAATGTAAATTAAGAAAATCACAAATCCTATAAGCATATTCCCAATAAACCTTAAAAGTGGAAGGGCATACACTAGAGTGTTTAAAACTGTTTAAGCTGTACTGCGGAATATTAATTGCTTATATCATGTAAATCTAAAAAGTGCTGGGAGTTGATTCTGGTCTGAAGAATATTTTTTAAATTCTTTATGATGTGATGGCAGAGTGGAAATTTTTGCTATTTCACACATTCTTGGCGAAATTGCGAGGACTTCCCAAACAGCACAAACTAGTTCCCAGCACTTCTCAGGCAAGGGAGGTAAATTTTAATGTGTATCAATTTTTATGGCAAAAAACAACCGGATGCCCATGCACTAGCGTCATTTTCTACATTCAGCCTAATAATTCTATTTTTACACCAGTCATGTGACACACAGCTGATATATACAATGTAAATTGTACTAAGTACAACATGAACGTATTCATTACTGGTGACTATATTACCTTTCCGACAATTTTATAGTTACCAATTTTTTACAGTGATTATTAAATGCAATACATATTAAAATAAGATAAGACAATATTTTCCATCGATTTCCTTAACATAGCTAAGCATGACTGATTGATGTTGACCCTCCAGGATGTGGAAATGAGCAGCTACTGTGAGCCAGATGGGAATTAATGGTGGAAACAACTGGAAAAGGCAAGATTGATGGACGTTGACCAGGCAGACCACAGCTAGGTTAAGGACACTCATAGGAAGTACGCATTCATATATTCCATAAAAAAGATTCAATATCAAAAAAAAAAAATAATTAGTTTAATTTTGTTGAATGGAAATTCTGCTATCTGTACAAGTATATAGGATTCTCTTCTGAGTTTGGCCAAAGTGACATCACTGATAATATGATTTGTTTGTCACATGACAGCTAGGTTAAAATTAGAAAAGATACGTACAGGTACAAAAATTGTGAAAATTTCAATGAGATATGGATACATTTTTTATTTTGAAATTGACCATTTTTGTTGAGACAAATTCCGTCATGTGAAAAAGTGCTGGGAGAAAGTTTCTCATACTTGGGAACTATGACAAATTTAGTCATCTATTGATAAAATAGAGAAAAAAGCAAAGTATGCCTTGAAGATATATTAAATTGCAGAATGAAGCACACAACCAGCTCCCAGCACTTTTTAAAATAGAGGAATACAAGCTACATGTGATTATAAGCTAAACATTTATAGTAAAGCTGATAAAGTTGAACTTTTTGGATTAATGAGAACCAGACTCTGTCAGTTATTTTAGTTTATTAAAGTAGAAGTCTTATTTATGTCTTATTTCTTATCTCAAGACTGATGTACATTGACCCTCCAGGATGTGGAAATAAGCAGCTACAGCCAGACAGGAATTGGTGGAAACAAGTGGAAAAAACAAGACTGATGGACATTGACCCTCCAGGATGTGGAAATGAGCAGCTACAGCCAGACAGGAATTGGTGGAAACAAGTGGAAAAGACAAGACTGATGGACATTGACCCTCCAGGATGTGGAAATGAATAACTACAGCCAGACAGGAATTGGTGGAAACAAGTGGAAAAGACAAGACTGATGGACATTGACCCTCCAAGATGTGGAAATGACCAGCTACAACCAGACAGGAATTGGTGGAAACAAGTGGAAAAGACAAGACTGATGGACATGACCCTCCAGGATGTGGAAATGAGCAACTACAGCCAGACAGGAATTGGTGGAAACAAGTGGAAAAGACAAGACTGATGGACATTGACCCTTCAGGATGTGGAAATGAGCAGCTACAGCCAGATAGGAATTGGTGGAAACAAGTGTAAAAGGCAGGGATGATGGACATTGACTCTCCAGGATTTGGAAATCAGCTACAGCCAGACAGGAATTGGTGGAATCAAATGGAAAACATGTGACTGATAGATATTGACTCTCCAAGATGTGGAAATGAACAGCTACAGCCAGAGGAATTTGTGGAAACAAGTGGAAAAGACAAGACTGATGGACATTGACCCTCCAGGATGTGGAAAAGAGTAACTACAGCCAGACAGGAATTGGTGGAAACAACTGGAAAAGAAGAGACTGATGGACATTGACCTACCCAACAGCAAGACAACTGTCACTGATCAGGTATGTGACATAATCAATGATCAAAGATCATTTTTGGAAAACTAAGAATATTTGATCCTTGCAATATATTATTTAGATATGGTTGTTCTTTTCTTAATTTACTGATAGATGTATATTAACTTCTATTTTATAGTGTGCTTTGATGATTTGGTGACAGTACCCAGTAGGAGACTCGGGTGAAGTCATGTGGATGTACTTGACATGAATGACAAGGATCCCTCAGGTATGTGAAAGTTACCCTTAGTATGCCATTCTCTATGACCTTTGGTTTCTCACTTTTACTTTCATTGGACCTGATTATTACCTTTTCATTCTTTAAAAACAGAAACTAAAGGAGTCAGTAACCATTACCCCTTTCACTTCTTTCCTGAAAAGTAATTAACACAAAACAATTGCATCTGACAGGTTGAAGAGTAGCCTTAGAAGGATGGTGTTGGTAAAGTTTTCTTCAACAATGTGGAAAAGAGCATTTACAACCTTATTGGAATTGGTGGGAGCAACTGAAAAATGCAATGCTGATGGATGTTGACCCTCGAAGATGTGGAAATAAGCAGCCACAGCCAGACAGGAATGAATGAAAAATAAAACTGGAAGAAGCAAACTGGAATTGGTGGAAACAACTGGAAAAGACAAGACTGATAGACATTGACCCTTTAAAATATGGAAATGGGCAACTATAGCCAGACAAAAATTGGTCGGAAAACTTAGAAAAGGCAAGACTGATGGATGTTGACCCTTCGAAATGTGGAAATGAGCAGTTACAGCCAGACAGGAATTGGTAGAAACAACTAGAAAAGTCAAGACTGATGGATGATGACCTTCTCAACAGTAGAACTTACCACAGTGGATAACTGTCACTGATCAGGTATGTGAAATAATTAATAATCCAGGATCTTTTTTGACAAAGTACAGCAGAAGAACATTATGTTAGAGATATATAATATTTTGCTAAGATATGTCTGTTCTTTTCTTAATTTCTGTTTATACCTATTTAGATGCTGAAGTATATTAATTAATGTCTATTTTACAGTAAGCTTTGATGTTTTG